ATATGTGACCTATGTATGTGAATCAGAGAAAGGCAGAGTGAACACTGGTAGAAATTTCACTTGGCAGAGCAAACAATTCTGACTATGTGGGGCCTGCTTCCCCATTCCTCCAAAGCATCCTTGTTACCTACACTATCTCCCTTGATTCTGCAAGTCTCCCAACTTCAATATTTCCACACAACCAAGAATCCCAGATAAAACAATGGTGATGCTACAAATCAGCTGACATTGGGTATGGATTTCATGCTGGACCTTTGAAGGAGTCCTGGAACTGGAGTGTTTAGGCTGGTTATCAAAGAAGCTCAAAGAGGAAGAAAGTATAAAATCAGGGATCCCAAAAGAAGACAGCCCATTTCAAACTCTCCTTAATAATGGAGAAGAGGAAACTGAACTTTTTTATTTCACTACAATGGAATTTTTACTACAAACTTAATATACTTGTCTCATTTAATTTAAACAATTCTGTAAGAAAGGAATTTTTCTCTTAATAGAAACCAAGGCTCAGGGGCACCTGGGTGGCTCAGTCAGTTAAGTGTCTGCCTTCAACTTAGGTCATGATCCCAGGGTCCTGAGATTGAGCCCCACATCAGGCTCTCTGCTCAGTGGGGAAGTCTGCCTCTCCTTCTCCAACTACCTCAACCCCTATTCGTGCTCTCTCTCTCTCTCTCAAATAAATAAAATCTTTTTAAAAGGGGGGGGAGGGGCCCCTGGGTGGCTCAGTGGATTAAAGCCTCTGCCTTCGCCTCAGGTTGTGATCCTAGGGTCCTGGGATCAAGCCCCGCATTGGGCTCTCTGCTCAGCAGGGAGACTGCTCCCCTTCCTCTCTCTCTGTCTGCCTCTCTGCCTACCTGTCATCTCTGTCAAATAAATAAATAAAATCTTTAAAAATTTATCAAAATAATAAATAAATAAATGAAAATATTTGACTAGTGTGGGAATTTGATAGTAGGGAAGGCTGTTCATGTGTAGGAGCAAGGGATACATGGGAAATCTCCCTACCTTTTGCTTAATTTTGTTGTAAACTTAAAATGAACAGCAGGGAGGGGTTTGTTTGTTTTATTTATTTATTTGAGGCAGGGAGAGAGAGAGAGAGAGGAAGAGAAGAAGCAGGGGAGAGGAAGAGAGAGAGAGGGAGAAACAGAACCCCTCTGAGCAGATAGTCTTATGCAGGGCTCAATCCCAGGACCCTGGGATCATGACCTAAGCTGAAGGCAGTCACTTAACCAACAGAGCCACCCAGGCACCCCTAAAAACTCTACTTAAAAAAAAGTGATGGAGGGGACACCTGGGTGGTTCAGTTGGTTAAGCATCTGACTCTTTTTTTTTATTATTTGACAGAGATTACGAGTAGGCAGAGAGGCAGGCAGAGAGAGAGGAGGAAGCAGGCTCCCCGCTGAGCAGAGAGCCCGCTTCGGGGCTTGATCCCAGGACCCTGGGATCATGACCCGAGCCGAAGGCAGAGGCTTAACCCACTGAGCCACCCAGGCGCCCCAGCATGAGACTCTTGATCTCAACTCAGGTCTTGATCTCAGGGTCATAAGCTCAAGCCCGTATTAAAAAAAAAAAAAAAAAAAAGTTATGGTGCAATAAATGTATTCTCAGGCACAGTAAGCCTTTTCTGAAATCACTGATTCTTTTGTAGGAGGAAGTACTATAGTAAGACAAGACAGAAATCCAGAAAAACAGAATGGGATCCATAGAAAGTGGGAGTCCACTGCACAAAGATACTGGAATTGAACAACTAAATAAATGGGGGACAGAAGATAAGAGCCAGATTTGTTACTGTTGACCTGGGAGATCACGGACAAGCAAGGGACAAAGACTAGAATGATCCACGCAGCAATGGCTTAGATTTGGAAATGTCAGGTTTAGCTTAATATACAGACAGATGTGTACAGAAATATGGACACGTGTGTATATAGTAGATCAGTGCACACACGTAGCTCCCTGCCGTGTCAGCTGACATGACCTAGAAGCAGTGACATTCCACCGGCAATGAGCATGCCTGGGACCAGATCTAACACCCTTCTGCAGCAAAAGAAAACAGAGTTCCACGGAAAGATGACCAATGCTACAGCTAGAACAGAGCAGGAGCCGCCTGGGGACGAGTTCCCGGCTCCCTGCTAAATTACAACCATTTCTCAGCCAGCCCGTCTGATTTTTATTTCAAGGTCACTTCAATTAAAACTTGAGTCTTCCTAGGTGTTACTGAACACAAACTGAACACCTAGTTAGCTCTAAGATCCGCTCTGAGCTAGTTTTTGTTGAAAGCATACCATCTGTGTCTGAACATTTTCTTTGATGTGCACGTCCAATCGTTCCAGCACAGTATGTTGAAAAGATTATCTTTTCTCCTTTAACAGCCTTTTCTCCGGTATCACAGATCGGCGGACCGCATTGCAGGCGCCTCTTTCTGGGCTCTGCACTCCGTTCCCTCATCTACTTGTCTCCTTCTCCGCCAATACCAGACAGTCTTGATTCCTGCAGCTTTACACCGTGCGTTAAACTTGGGTAGAACCAGCGCTGACTGGGACCCGGGGTTCTTCGGTACCGCCTGGCTGTTCTGCGTCCTCTGCCGTCCCTTACACACTTTGAAATCTGTTGCTATCCACCAATTTGGGTAAATTGGCTTTTGACCTCTACTTAAAAACGTCTTTAAATTTCCTTGAGACGTTCTTTTGACCAAGTGTTTATTACATGTGTTGTTTCACCCCCAGATACCGGGGATCACCCGGCTACGTCTCTTCACTGGTGTGCGGCTGAATTTCACGGCGGCTCCGCCGTTTTAAATCTGCGAAGCTGCGTCCTACGGCATGGGTTTATGTAGGCGACTGCTCCACGCGGGCTGAGGAGAGCGCGGACCAGTACCCGCCGCGTTGCGGCTGTTCTTTATTCACTGCGTCTGCGTCTTTAAACAAGAAATCTTTCCCCGGGCGCCTGCCGGTTCGGGAGTCCGGTGGTGCGTTCCAGCCCCACGGCGGGCGCGGAGCCCACTTTAACGAACGAACGGGTGCGGAAGGAAGATCGTCCCCGCCTCCACCTTCTCCGGTTCCACTGAGCGTTCGGTTTACCTCAGGGGTTCCCTATCTCGCGTCTTCTTCACACTCTGAAAACTCCCTCGTGCCGCGCACAGCCGATCGGAGCCCGCGGCCAAGCGGCACCGCCCGGCCTCACCGGCGCCAGAGGAGCCTGCAACCGAGTCCCGCCGACTCCGGCGCCCGCGCCTCACCCCGCCGCCGCCGCCCGCGTTACCCATGTGCGCGCTCGAGTGACCCGACGCACTCCTGCTACTCTTACTCTGTCAAACACGGATCTTTTCATTACGAGGAGGAAAAACAAAAGGCCTTGTCTCGCCTCCATTCACTCCTTCTCCTTTCTTTGGGCATCTCCGACTGAGCGTCGGTCCCGCCTCACTGAGGAACTCCGGCCATTCCTCACAGGGGTTGGGACCACGACCCGGAACTGGCCGGGAGCATAGGCTCTTCCGGGCGGCTAGAGCGGCTGCCGGAAGCGGGCATCCGATTGGTGGCGAGCTGGAGGGCGCGGCGGAAGTGCAGTGCGGGCACTTCCCGTTCGGCCGCTCGCGCTCTGGCGGTGGGTAGTCTGCGAGCAGCACCTCCGCCCCAGCCGCGAAACCGCCCGACGTGAGTCGGCACCGGTGCGGGGGGCGCGGAGGCGGCGTGGAGTGTGCGGTGAGAGGCGGGCGGGGGAGCGGAGGAGGCCCCCGCGCAGAGCTCGCGGCCGGGGGTCCGGGGAGGCCGCTGAGGCCGCCGAGGCGGGGCGGCCGCGCGGACGGGGAGGGCCTCAGCGAGGGGCGAAGCTGGGCGTGCTCAGGGGCTGCGTCGGAGACAGGCCAGTGCGGTGCACGCGGCAGAGGCGGAGGGGGACCGAGGCTGCGGTTGTGAGCGCGGCGGGGAAGAGGCCTCGGCTGCTGGGGACCGGCGGGAGGTGCCGCTCGGCGGGTGCTCGCGAAGCAGTGCCGCAGGGGTTGTCACTGCGGGTCCACACGTTCTCCGTGTCTGTGCTTTGCCGACACTACGCGGAGCACCTTGTACATTTTCTTCATTAAATTCTCGAAACAGTCCCTCGGGGTAAGTCTCATTTTTAAGTCCGTGTGGAGACTCAGGTCACGTCCCCGAGTTTGCACCAGCGGGTGGTGTGTCCGGGATGGGGGGAGCCCGCGCCTCCAGCCGCGGTGGTACCGGCCTCCCGGTCCGTGTGGAGGCGCGCTCGCGGTACGCGCTTCCTTGGCCAGGCTGGGGGCCTTGGAGGTGGGAGTCGGCTTTGTATCGGAGGCTGTTCGGGACGGGTTTCCGGGAGGCATGGCCCGTGTCGGTTCTAGATCGTGTGCGCACCGCCAGTTCCCAGTACACCGGCCCGCGTCAGCCTTTCTCTTTTGAGTTTTGGACCTGTAAATCCAAAAACTCTCATTCTCCCCTTGTAAATCTGAAATACAACATGTACCAAAACGGCTTTTGATTGTTTATCCTTAGATGTAAGTTTTATCCTTCAGAGTGAATGAAGTGTCATCATCGCAGTATCCTGGGGCAAACCTTGGTTTCTCATCCCAGATCTAATTTATCAGCAAATGCTGTTGACGATACCTCTGAAATGCATCTAGAATCTGATCCCTTACCACCTGCTCCCACCACTCTGGTCCAAGATACTGTCATCTCTAGTGGATTGCTGCTGGAGCCTTCCAACTGGTGTTCCTGTTTACATCCTTACACTCCCCAGCTCCACCCTAGTCTCTTCTCAGAGCAGCAGCTGGAGAGGCCACCTGGCAGGTCGTAGCACTGCCCAGATCTTCAGGATACTTCCCAACTCATTCACAGTAAAAGCCCATGCCCTGTAGCCTATGAGGCACCCCTCCCTCCTCTCTCTTGCCCTCCCCTACTCCACTTCAGCCCCTCTGGTCTCCTTGCCCTTACTTGAACACATCAAGTGGGCCATTGCCTCACACCGTTTGCCCTTGTGCATTCCCCTTCCTGGAATTGATCTCCCCTAACATCCACACAGTGCCTGCCCTCGCTCCATCTAGACCTCTGCTTTGGTGTTGCTTTATCAAAGTTGCCTTTCCTAGCCAGCCTGTGTAAAATATCTCCTACCACCAGCTGCTGCCCTCATGCTGTTCATTCTTTCTGTCCCTTATCGTCACCTGACACAGGCTTTTGTTTGTCAACCGCCCTATTTGCTTGCACACCGCCTTAGGGTAGGTGCCTGGTCTGCTTGTCCTCAGCTGTTTGCCCACTTTCCAGGACCCTCAAGGTGGTCCTGAGATGCAGCCTATTGTCTGCCCTGGCCAAGTGCACTGCTGGGGCCATCATATGGTGGCCTTAGGATACTGTTGTACCAGGGGCTGCTGGGGAAGCCTTGGGGTGGAGAAGGAAATAGTCTCAGAGACCACTGGGTATTTAGTTCCTCTGCCCATCCCAGGGCTTTCTGGCAGCCACAGACTTGGTCTCTGCTGCCATAGACCTCTTGAGATCTAGGCACGGCAGTCTCAGTGTTGCTGTGAAAAGCAGACTGGTCACGCTCCATTACAGCCTTCCCTCTCCCTACAGTTTTGCCCGCCTCCTGGGGACAAGCTAAGAGATGCAGCGATGGCCGTCAAAGATCTCCTTCCTCCTGGGCCTCAGGTGAGTGGTCCTCTTGGAGATACCTGAGCCCTTTCTTGGCTAAAGTCTCTCCATGGTTCTCTCAATGAGGAGCTGTCTTCACCAGTGTTCTCAGTCCCTGAGTTCCAGTCCCTTAAATGTGCTGCACACTATCTTCTCAGTCCCTGCACTAGGCATGGTAGAGGGTAGGGGTTGGGCAGACAGAGACAAGTCAAAATGGTGCTGGTCTCAAAGAACCCAGTCTTGTGAGGACAGCAGTCTGGTACATGCATTCAAAGGGGTTTTGCCTATCATGAGCCACCCTGGGCCTGACCCTGGAGTTGCAACAAGATATTATCATTCCAGGTTTTGGTTTCTTTTGAGGAAGTGGCTGTGTTCCTTTCCCGGGAGGAGTGGGGCTGTCTGGGCCCTGCTCAGAGGGGCCTCTACAGTGATGTGATGCTGGAGACCTACAGAAACCTGATCTCACTGGGTAAGGCTCCTTCTGAAGTTCAGCTCTGGGTTCCGTGCTCGTGAACAGCACTAGGGTTAGACTCAAGGCTCAGAGGCATCTCTCCTCCAGGCCCAAACACAAGGCATTTCTGACCGTGGTTTCAGGCAAGCCTGGTCTGCACAGAGTCTGTACCACAGACTCCCCCAGTTTCCTTGTAGGAAATATGGAAGGAGAATATCATTCATTAAACCCTAAGTATTTTCACATTCAGAGTCAATCACAATGCATCTTCAAGGTTGGTGTTGGGTTAAATAGTTTATAGTTGACTCTGAGGCTAACATATCATAACTTTTTTTTTTTTTTAAGAGATTTATTTATGATCTCAGGGTCCTGGGATCAAGCCCCACATCAGGCTCTCTGCTCAGCAGGGAGCCTGCTTCCCCACCTCTCTCTCTGCCGGCCTCTCTGCCTACTTGTGATCTCTCTCTCTCTCTCTCTGTCAAATAAATAAATAAAATCGTTTAAAAGGAAATTTTTTTAAAAAAGAGGTTTTATTTGTGTATTTGAGAGAGAGAGAGACGGTAAGCACAGAAGGAGAAACAGACTCTACACTGAGCGGAGAGCCCAATGCAGGGCTTAATCCCAGAACCCCAGTATCATGACCTGACCCGAAGGCAGATACTTAACCCACGGAGCCACCCAGGTGCCTCATATTATAACCTTAAGTTCACACAGGTAGTCAGGGGCAGATCTAGGATTTGAATCCATTTGGTTTTCAAGCCCTCCCTTACACCAAAACGTGCTGCTTCCCTTTAGTCCTCATGGAAGTCAACACCAAGACTCTATTATTAGAGTCTTCTAGCATGATGTGTTCAGGCCCCAACTCTTTCCCTTATCCTTGGCCCCCAGAAGAGCTGGGTTTACTTTTCTTCAGCAGGGGAAGAGGCCTGCATCTGTCTCCTTGGTTTACAGACAGGTGGCAAGGGAGGTCATGAATAGGACACAGGTGCTGCCCATGGGGCCATCTTACCCTGGACTTGGGTGAATTGTCAGCCTTGCTTCCTTTCTCTGGAGCAGGACTTCAAGGTTCCAAACCTGATGTCATCTCCAGGCTGGAGAAGGGGGAAGAGCCATGGGCCCCATACTCACCGAGAATTGAGGAAGGCTGGATCTGGAGTCATGGGAGTGAAAGTGAGTCTCCAGGAATGCCGCCGTGCTCTCCTGCCCCTGCTGGCAGGTGCTGCCACTTTGCCAGGCCCTTCTCTGTGAGCTCTGGACCACATCTTTTGTCACGCCAGAGCCTTGCTCTCCCTCTGCTCCATTCTCACCTCTCTTTTCTTTCTGATCTATACCCATAAATGAGTTCATGTTTCCCTAACCCTACAAAATGTTCTTTCAATCCCAGAAAAGAGCTCAGGTATGTCTCTGGCAGCTGGCTGCCTCTCAACTGCTTCTGTGTCACCCAGTCTTTCTCAGGCCTTGCTGGCCAGCTCTGCCTTGGCTGCTTAGGAAGGCCATCCAGAGACATGCCCTCTGCCCAGACTTACTCTGCTGTTGCTCAGAGTTCCCAGGCTGATTCGGGGCCTTGGAGAAAAACATGAGCTAGGGTTTCTTCCTGTGTAGCAAAGGGTATGGGCATGTAACTAGTAAGTGGAGCAGCGTCTTCAGCTACCACAGCCACTAACGATGCCGGGAATCTGTGCTCAGGGCATGCCCAGTGCTTTGCTGACACAACGAACTTAGCAGTCTGCCAGTATCCTCACAAAGTCGGTACCCAAGAAACGGAGGCACAGAGAGATGCGGTTGCTGGCCTGAGATCACACAACTGGTCAGGAACAGAGCTCGGTTAGACTCTGGCATACCAGCTCCACACCACATGCATTCTTTTTCCCCTCTTAGAAACAGTTTTATTAAGGTATATTAAGTGTATAATATGTTATGCATATCTAAGATGTGCAGTTTGGTAACATTTCTGCGCTATGTATTGTATGTGTGAAACATTCATTATAGTCAAAATAGCAGACATGCCCATTACCCCCCAACGTTTTCTGCTGTCTCGGCAATTCCTCCCTCTTACCCCTTCCCATCCCTGTCATGAAGCAGTTACTAGTCTGCTTGCTGTCAATATGAATTACATTTTCTAGAGTTTTATGTAATTGGAATCATAGAACATGTACCCTTTTTTGGTCTGGCATCTTTTGACTCCATGTAATTCTTTTGATACTCATCTGTGTTGTGTATCAATAACTCATTTATTTATTTTGGTTATTATTTTCTTTGTATGGCTATGCCACAATTTATCAAGTCCGTTAACAGACATTTGGGTTGTTTCCAATTTGGGCTTCGTACAGATAAAGCTGCTGTGAACATTTGTGTACATATCCTTGTAGGACCATACGTTCCTTTTCTCTTGGATAAATACCTAGTAATAGCATGGCCAGATTACGTGCTGGTGTATACTTAACTTTTAGGAAACTGCCAGAATGTTTTCCAAACTGGTTGTACCATTTGACATTCCACCAGCAATGGATGCGAGTTCCGTTTCCCCTGCACCCTAATCACTTGGTGTACTCAGTCTCTTTTTAAATTTTAGCTGCTCTGATGAATGTGTACTGGGGTCACATTGTGGTTGCACTTTTGATTTCTCTGATAGTTAAAGATTCAGAGTGTCTTGTTTTCCTTCTGTGTATTTTCAGTGGCGAAGTGTCTGTTCATATCTTTGCTTATTTTTTAACTCCGTTTTTGTTCTTGTCTGAAGTTTTACAGAGTTGCTTTCTGGATATAGAGCTGTTCTAGACACAGACCCTTTATCAGATAGATGCTGTGCATAGGTTTTCTCTGGGGGCCTCATCTCTACTCTCTTCCTGTGTCTTGGAAGAGGAGACATGTCACTAAATTCTGATGAACAGCATCTCGTCAGTTCACTCTTGTGGGTTGTGCTTTCGGTGTCACTTCTGAGAAAACTGCTAAATTCAAAAGGTTTTCTTATAGAAGAAAATTTTATAACTTAGAAATTTTAGGTATTTGGGTCTGTGATTCATATTGAGTTAGTTTTTGTGTCTGGTATGGGTTATTGAATCCAGTTAAATTTTTTACAAGTGATGTCCAGTTCCAGCAACAATTGTTGCAAAAAACCATCCCTTCTCCACTAGTATTGCTTTTGTGCCTTTATCAAAAATAGTAAAAAATAGTAAAGTAAATCCCTTGGAAGTACTGTGAGTTGGTCACTGAAGTCTGTTAAAATGACGTAGCCCAATTTTACATCCATCTATTCAACGTTTTCAGCTCCGTTTCCTTGTCGGCTGAACGGTCTGAGAGTCACAGCCTGTTACAGCTCTAGTGATAAGCAGTTGACAGAAGAGAGGCCCCACGGTGCTTCCGTGGCGTCTCACAGCAGGGCTCCCCGCACTGTTCTGACCTGGGTGCCCTTTGACAGTCCTTGTGTTCACATGATTCAGTGGTTTTGTTTGTTTTTTTTTTGTTTTGTTTTTAGTAAATTTCCTTTCATTGGATTTCAGAATTCATCTGTATCACAGGTTTTGCAAATATTCAGGTAATTTACTCACTGGGAATGTGTGCTGTGGGTCATTGCCACGTTTAGCTGTTCTGCCCGTGCTGCACCTGCTGTTTGGATGAGTAGCTTACCTCTTCCTATCTGTTTTCTCTGTTTACCCTGATTTGCTTCTGTGAAGCCAAATTGTCCAGACCTTTTTTCCCAATATCCGTTAATCTGTATACCTTTTATTCATTATAAGCCATTTATCATTCATTTATTTTTTTAAAGATACTCATTTAGGGGCATCTGGGGGGCTCAGTCATTAAGCCTCTCCCTTCAGCTCAGGTCATGATCCCGGGGTCCTGGAACTGAGCCCTGCATTGGGCTCCCTGCTCAGCAGGAAGCCTGCTTCTTCCTCTCCCACTCCCCCTGCTTGTGTTTCCTCTCTCTGTGCGTCTCTCTCCGTCATATTAATAAACAAAAAATCTTTAAAAAGAAGAAAAAGGATGTATTCATTTATTTCGGGGGGGAGGGGCAGAGGAAAAGAGGCAGACTCTGTGCTGAGCCTAGAGCCCAACACAGGGCTTGATCTCATGACCCCAAGATCGTGACATAAGTCAAAATCAAGAGTCAGACACTTCACCAACTGAGCCACCCGGGCACCCCTCATTCATTTGTTTTTAAACAAATATTTGAATACCTATTATAAGTAGGCTAGAGGAAGACACCTTGTTTGCAAAGTAGGAGCAGTGACATGAGCAGTCGTCTTCTTAACACTCTAGTCACCTTTCTGAAAGCTCTTTTCCTCAGGTCATCTCTCACTGTTCCTGCTCCATCTGTCCCTAGTTAGCCCAGACATAAACCTTTGACCTTGGGCTTCTCTCCTTCCTTCCTTCCTTCCTTCCTTCCTTCCTTCCTTCCTTCCTTCCTTCCCACACCAGCCTTCCTTGCTTTGATAACATACTTCTCTTCCCCTCTTTCCTCTTCTCAATCCCAGTGAGATGGTTTTTTGGTTCTGCATTCAGGAAATCCAGTATGCTCCTAGGAGATAGTTGTTTCGTGTAACTATTCCTATTTATTCTCTAATTCTTTCTCCCACGGTAAAATATGAGCAACTCATTTGTCCTATTCTTTCAGGTTTTGAGTCTCGGACAGGAAAGAAGGGATTGACTCCAAGACAGGAAATTTCCAAAGCAGTGGGGTCCCAGAGAGCAAAATCAGAAGAACATGTAAAGAATATTTCCAAGGAACCTGATTTTGAAGAGATGAGTAAAACTGAGGGAAAATTAAAGAACTGCTGGAGAAAATCTGCAGAGGAAGGGCTTAAGAAATCCTTCTCCCAGAAGAACAGTTCTGGGCCAGTGACATTGACACATATGAAAACCCCTATTAGAAGGGAAGGCCAGAAATCCAGTTCTGTGGAGGTAAACTGCACTGCAGACCCAAACCCGTTTGGATTTCATAGAGCATCTAGAAGGAAGAGTCTCCACCAGAATGTGCCATGTATGGATGACTATCAGCAAAGCCAGGACCTCACTAATCACCAGTGTTTGTCCCCAGAAGAAAGAGCCCGTCAGACAGATGTGTGTGTGAAAGTGCCCAGGCAGAGTTCAGTTCTTAGTGAGAATCAGAGGGTTAACAATCCAGAAGAGTCCTTTGAGTATAATGAGTATGGAAAACCTTTCAGCCTGAGTAGAACTCTTTCTCAGCATCAGAGAAGTCATGCTGGAGAGAAGCCCTGTGAGTGTGGCGGGTGTGGAAAAATTTCTCAGCACTGCTCGGTCCTAAGCCAACATCAGAGAGTTCACTGTGGAGAGAAGCGCCATACCTGTGCTGAGTGTGGCAAATCTTTCAGGGCTCATTCCTATTTCATTCAGCACCATAACACTCACACTGGAGAAAGACCTTATGAGTGCAGTGAATGTGGGAAAGCTTTCAGTGCACGTTCATCTTACAGTCAACATCTTAAAATTCACACTGGGCAGAAACCTCATGAGTGTCATCAGTGTGGAAAAGCCTTTAGTCATAGCTCTAACCTGATTCATCATCAGAGAATTCATAGTGGAGAGAAACCATACAAGTGTAAGGAATGTGGGAAGGCTTTCAGTAGACACTCTCACCTCCTTCAGCATGAGCGAACTCATTCTGGAGAGAAACCTTATAACTGTACTGAATGCGGCAAAGCCTTCAGTGCACGATTATCTCTCATTCAACATCAGAGAACTCACACAGGAGAAAAACCCTATGAATGCAATGAATGTGGGAAATCCTTTAGTTTGAACCGAACCCTTACTGTTCATCAGAGAATTCACACTGGAGAGAAACCCTATAAGTGTAACGAATGTGGAAAATCCTTCAGTCAGCGCTCCCAAGTCATTCAGCACAAGAGAATTCATACCGGAGAGAAGCCTTATGTCTGCAATGAGTGTGGAAAATCATTCAGTGCTCGCCTGTCCCTCATCCAGCATCAGAGAATTCACACTGGAGAAAAACCTTACAGATGCAGTGAGTGTGGGAAAACCTTCAGTCAGAAGGGACATCTTATTCAGCATCAGCGAATTCACACTGGAGAGAAGCCCTATGAGTGTAATGAGTGTGGAAAAGCTTTCAGCCAGAGTTTTAATCTTATTCATCATCAAAGGACACACAATGGTGAGAAGCCCTATGAATGTAATGAGTGTGATAAAGCCTTCAGTGTGCTCTCTTCCCTTGTTCAACATCAGAGAGTCCATAATGGTGAGAAGCCCTATGAGTGTCACAAATGTGGGAAGGCCTTTAGCCAGGGCTCACACCTCATTCAGCACCAGAGGAGTCACACTGGGGAGAAACCCTATGAATGTAACAAGTGTGGGAAAACCTTTGGGCAGATATCCACCCTAATTAAGCATGAGAGAACACACAATGGAGAGAAACCCTATGAGTGTGGTGACTGCGGGAAAGCCTTCAGCCAGAGTGCACACCTCGTCCGCCATCGAAGGATTCACACTGGAGAGAATCCCTATGAGTGCAGTGACTGTGGGAAGGCCTTCAACGTCCGCTCCTCTCTCGTGCAGCATCACAGAATTCATACTGGGGAGAAGCCTTATGAATGCGAGAAGTGTGGCAAGGCCTTCAGTCAGCATTCACAGTTTATTCAGCATCAGAGGATTCACACTGGAGAGAAGCCCTACATGTGCAATGACTGTGAGAAAGCCTTCAGTGCACGCTTATCCCTTATCCAGCACAAGAGAATTCACACAGGAGAAAAACCTTACAGATGCACTGAATGTGGAAAGTCCTTCCGACAAAGCTCTCACCTTATTCGACATCAGAGAGTTCACAGTGGAAAGCGCCCTTATGTGTGTAATGAATGTGGGAAAACTTTTAGTCAGAGAAAAACTCTTACTAGTCATGAGAAAATTCACACTGGAGAGCAGGCCTATGAGTGTATTAAATGTGGGGACCTCTAGTGCACAGGCAGCTTTCATTCAGCACCATAAAGTTCACAGTGGAGAATAACTGCTTTATTCGATAAAGTCTTCACTGTTGTACATCAGGAATAGTATACTGATGTGAAAGCTTCTGTTTCAGAGATTCATCTCTTGAGTGTTTAACAATGTCCCAGTGCAGTGCTAACTGAAGACAGGTTGCCGGATTATGTGGTAGAAATTCCAAGGTCACGTGCCTTTCCTCCCACAGAGGGTTCCCTGTGCTTGAGTACTTGAAACGAGCCCCATCTGGGTACACTTATTTAAGTGTTTTCATGGCTCCAGACCTTAGGGTGCAGTGAGGTATTTCATGCAGCCACTTGCTTTTCCTTCCTCATCTTCATCTATTTCAAGTTCAAGGAGAGTAACTGGGACCATTACACTTTAAATCTGGAAAGAACCAGGTTGGGATTTCCTTGTTGGTTTGGACCTCTTCAAAAAGTTTTTGTGTTATTGTGAGGGATGTCCCTTTAACTTCAAAAGTATTATCCCTTTTCAGCATCAGGTAATCCAAACAGGAAGAAACTAGGAGCATGAACAAAATTTGTTAAGGAGGTGAGGCGTGTGTGTAGATACAGACTTTGAGATCCTGCTAGGAAGTCAAATGACACATGTAAAACAAGTTTTCCTACAAGTTAATTTGGAAAGTCAAACTGCTGTGAATTGGGAGGAAAATAAGCATAAAGTAGACACACCATAGCATGGGATATGACTTACAGTTTTTGTTCTCAAAACCAAGTTTGGTATATTCCATATCAGTTTTTTGAGGAGAGAATGGGAGTGGTCACAGCTATTCCCTTTCACTGGGCAGCCTGGCACTGAACAGACCCTGGTGAGGAGTGGCAGGTCCTTCTGCTGCCAGAGGGCAGGACTCCAGGTAAGGCAGAGCCACTGAGCAGCTTTTAGTAGATAGATAATTGTGCAGGTTGTCTGCGTGCTTTAAAGGTACCTTTTGTCCCCTGGAATGATGTTGGTCACCAGTGTCTCAGCATCCTTTAGTTCTTGATGTTTGAGATGAAGTAGATCCTGGGAGTTCTGTCTTCCTAAACCCAGTTTTCAGAGTTGCTGTCCTTGCCTGTGGTGCTTCTGCCCCGGTTCACTCATGGGTGGCTCACTTCAGCATCCTCAGAACCCCATTCTCCAGAAACGTCTTTAGCACTTTCTCCTACATTTTGATGGAAGAAAGATTAGCATCAAAATGAGCTGAAATAGGTTGTACATATGAACAATTCAGCAACAGCAGTCTGTGAGAGACAGTTCTAGAAGCTAAAATCTGGCAGCTGAAAGTAGCTTAAGTCTGATGAACAAGCTGGATGCCACATGTACAAACCTCTCAGAAGGGATTGGCTGATTAATATTTGGGATAAGCTATAATGGAGTGATGCTTTGTATATAAGAATCAGGGTAAGAAAGAAGAAAAGGTAAGAGCAATGAATTACTTAATGATTGGCCATTTTATTCCTTTATAGTGTCCTTTTCTCTAATAAAATTATTCCAGTTTTCCTGTTTATCAAAGGAACTTTATTAGAATTTGACTGATCTTTTCTCCTTATGTTGACATGACCTGTATTTCAGGTCTTACTTTCCAGGTTGTCCATATAATAGTAGTGGTCTGGGCTTAAAATGTTGAAAAGCGGGGCGCCTGGGTGGCTCAGTGGGTTAAAGCCTCTGCCTTCGGCTCAGGTCATGATCCCAGAGTCCTGGGATCGAGCCCCACATCGGGCTCTCTGCTCAGTGGGGAGCCTGCTTCCTCCTCTCTCTCTGCCTGCCTCTCTGCCTACTTGTGATCTCTGTCTGTCAAATAAATAAAATCTTTAAAAAAAAAAAAAAAAAAAAAAAATTTAAAAAAAATGTTGAAAAGCTGATTAGGAAATCTGCATCTTGGTGATAACCCTCCTAAGCACATTTCACCACAGATAGCTTTGACTTAAATAATAAAATAACATAAAAACTGGAGTGAATTTAATAATAAGGGTTATTGGCCAAACAGTAATCTTGACTTTTTTTTTTTTTCTTCTTTTTGTACCTTAGCATGTACCAGGCATTGTGATTGAGGCTTTGCACGGGTTTTCTCATTTAAGCTTCACAGAATTTCAGTGAAGTAGGTACTTTTACTTACCCTGTTTCACAGTGGGGCTGGAACACAGAGAAGCTGCTCGGGGACAGTGCTGGCTCTGTGCGGCTCTACCACCCAGGCTGTCAGTACCTCTTGAGTCCTGCTGCACGCAAGACTGAAGGCAGTGCTAGGAGGGAGCTTGCAACCCCAAGGCTGGCCCAGCTGACTGATTCCAAATGGGAAATAGTACACTTTACTTAAACATGGTTTGCCATGTGGGGGTTTTTAGGTGTTTTATCAGGGAAGGAAAATGAGAAAACAGTCCAAAGGTAGGAGCCTCTGGCTTATGACTTCACTAATCATCACTCAACAGCATGTCCCACATGAAAGGCAGGGAATGTCCATCTTTTCCTGAGGTGACCAAAACTTTAGTTTTAGTTTTGTCAGAAGCTCCTCCTTACCAGGTTCTCCAGGCCTCTCAGGGACGTTACAACTTCTAGAAAAGGGACCTTTAAGAAGGAAGAAAAGAAAAACTGTGTTTGCTCCAAGGATCTCTGGTATCCTTTTAAGAGAGAGAAGGACTAAGAAACTGTGGCAGTGTCTTCTTCAGGACTGCATGCGATCTTAGAATGCCAAATCAGGAAAAATATTTGGGTTTCTTTTTTTTTTTTTTTTTAAGATATATTTATTTATTTGAGAGAGTGAGAGCATGAGAGGGGAGAAGATCAGAGGGAGAAGCAGACTCCCTGTGGATCTGGGTGCCCAATGCGGGACTCGATCCCAGGACTCCAGGATCATGACCTGACCCGAACGAAAGCAGTCACTTAACCAACTGAGTCACCCAGGTGTCCTGGGTTTTTTTTCTTTTTAATTTCATCTTTACATACAGTGGAGGTGTTTACTTAACTAAAAATCCCAACATTTATCCTAATCCTCTATTTCAGCTTGTATGGCTAAAACATCATTCTAATTCCTGTGATGAGTTTTTCATTGTTTTAGTTTTCAGTTAAGTACTTCATCCAAATTGTATTCCATTTTATTTACATAGTTGTTAATGTTCTTGATTCCAGTCATAAGTTTCTCTGTTACCCAATTTCTTCTTTAGCTTGGGGATGACATTAATACTGGTTGGGAGCCACACTGTCCCCTGATGGTGCAGACCCTCTCTTTGCTACACTTGCGGGTTAGCACAGAGCGGTCATCCACTTGGGACCCCCAGCTTCTATACCAAGTAAATTAGCTACAATTGAGAAGAGAAGGACATTTCGGTTTCTTCAGTAGGTGGAAAAAAGCCTTATGGAAGAGAGATTCATTCTGTAGTGACTGGCAGTGCTGACTGATGCCCTGTTCATCTACCCCAGGCTACTTTCCCTCACCCCAAGAGGGTCACCCAAGCTTGAGAATTGCATTGGCAAGGGTGCACCAACCTCCCTGGGAGATGCTGCAGGGCTACTTCCTATAAACTAGGAATGGCAGTGGGAGGGCTGTCATGTAAATGGGTTCCACAACTCACTGGGGTTGGATGGAAACCAGACAGTAGCTCATGACCCTTACAAAGACATGGAAGTGTGTCACCTTAGCAGGCCCAGGGCCAGAGCAGTAATCACAGCACTTATCCTGAATAATGGTGTCTCTGAGACTGAAATAGCCTACTAAAGTCTGTATGTAAAAAAAAAACACACACACCACAAATTTGGTGAAAAGACCCGAGCCTCATGAAAGGAGAAAAGGCTAGATTCCCTTGAGGAAAGAAAGACCCTGATGCTCTCCCCCAATTTTAAACTATATCTTTACTTCCCCAAAGGGAATGTGGCCAGTTATGGGGTAACCACGTTGAAAGACAGGAAATATCCACACTTACAGAGAAGAGAAAGTAAAAATTAGACCAGCAAGGGAAAAAAATCTATTAAACTATTCACAGGGCTGGAATCACGGATAAAACCAGCTTCAAAGGTTAGAGGAGAAAATACCTTCCGAAAGATGTATTCTGTTTTCTTACTGAGACACTTCGCTCCCCAACATCACAGACTAACAGAAATGTGTTATAAATTATCAAAAATTAAATAGGCACTCTTTCCTGGCAGATATAAATCACCTTGATACAGAGATGCAACATTGATTTACAACTAGAACCAGATAAGGTGTTTTGAACACTGCATTCCACACCTAAATTTTGCGGTTTTCAAGGAAATAGGAACCCGGGTCGACTTCACAGTCCAGACCTAAGGCTGACCTACTACTCACAGCCCAGCTTTACTGCCCACCCATCGAAGCACAGCTCCACATGGATTTCACCCCAAATCCACCCTTCCCTGAAGTCCTATAACAACTCCGTTTTCCATTGTTTATTGGGACACCCCACAGATCTCAGGTTTGCCACTCTTTTGGTAATGGGTCTGTGACCCTGACTTGGTTGGAGTACAGGCTTGTCCCGGTAGTCTGAGGCTGATTAGCCTAGGGTAGGGGTTACTGGGTTCTGACTCTGAATTGACATTTGTTCAAGATATTGCTGTTGTTTACCAGAGTAGGAGCTTATGGAGTCAAGTGGCAAATGGATTTTTAACTCAATACCATCACAGTGAGATCACTGGGACCCAGAATCCACCCCATCAAGAATGTGTACACAGAGTAGACACACTTCACTTGACAGAATCGCCATATGAGTTCTCAGGGTGTTACGATAGGAATCCTTGGACTAAAGAGGCCCAGAGATGACCCCACCTCCCTACCTGTAGGTACATTACTCTGGGAAGACTAACTTCTCTGAGTGAGTTTGCGTATATGCAAAATGGGAAAAGAAATAACAATCCATGTGGGGCTATTTGGGGATTAGTTAGAACCAAGTATGCAGAATGACCAGTGTGCTACTCAGGATGCAGTGGGCACACTGCAGACCCACTCTGGTTGGGGTATCAAGAACAGAAAGAGCATATTGCCTTAGGAGAGGGATGGATTGAGTTACAATCTGGGTTTCTTCTCACTGGCCTGGTTTTCAATGTAAAAGAGG